CCGGAGCCGTCGCAGCTGCTCTGCCCCAGGTGTCCAGATTCAGCTGCTGTTGAAACCGACCAGCAGCTGACTCCAGGAAGCCCAGGGCAGAGCAGTTCTGCCTCAGGCTTCCTGGAGTCAGCTGCTGATCAGTATCAGCAGCTTCTGACTTGGGGACACCTGGGGCAGAGCAGCTGGGGTACTGCCGGGTTGGTCCCCTTCTGTTCTGAAATTTGATTTGTCCTTTTTATGTGTTCATTTTTTTGATTGTATCCTTTGGTATATATGGTTGTACCAATTTTCTTCCACTATGTGATCTGAGGAAGTAGGTCTAGCCCATGAAAGCTCATCACCTAATAAACCGTCTTGTTAGTCTTTAAAGTGCTACATAGTCCTGTTTTTTTTGGGGTGGGGGGTGTGTGTCTGTGTGTGTGTGTGTGAGAGAGAGAGAGAACGAACACACCCACACCACTATTTGGGCTTCAAGAGAAAATCTTGAAAATGGGATGTTTCCTTGAAGATCAGACAGAAAACAAAAAGCACCTCATGCAGGCCCATGCCTAGGGGAGCGTGGAAGCACCCTGCCATAGTCCCCCAAATAAGCATGCTACAGTGGTCGGGGAAAGGCTGTGGCTCATTTCCCTGCTTACTAGGGGGGAGAGGGGTGCATTCACATCCTTGTGGTCCAAATTTACAAAAATGCCCCCCACAGAAATTCCTGTGTACCGGCTCTTTTATTCTAGAGAACTAGATAAATGGGCTTAGGTAAACAGGATGGGCTATGTCTAGACTGGCATGATTTTCCACAAATGCTTTTAACAGAAGAATTTTTGTTAAAAGCACTTGTGGAAAAAAGCGTCTACATTGGCACGGATGCTTTTCCACAAAAGCACTAGATGCAGTTTTGCACAAGAAAGCCCCGATCGCCATTTTCACCATCGGGACTTTTTTGCACAAAACAATACCATGTTGTCTACACTGGCCCTCTCGCACAAAAGCTACAGTTGAGTAGCCCTGGTCTAGACAGTGCTTGGGCCTGTTGTGAGGGCAGGGGCCTGGACTTCCAGTCCTAGGATTCTATGAGTTTGAAGGCCCATGATACTGAGGATTTTCTGCGGCCTGACTGATGCTTTGCAAGTACTTGGGGCTGGCAATAGGGGGAAAGTCCAGACACTGGACAGAGCCCTGACATTAGGCCCAAGGGTTTTCGCTCTCCTCTTCTAACCTGCCACAGGTCCGGCCGTGGTCACGGAGTGGCTGCGAGGCGCAGCTCGGGCCAGGTGTCGCAGGCGGACGGTTCCTCTATAGTAGCGAAGGCGACTTTTGCAAGCTAGTGGGCTGCGTCCTTGCCCGGCTGCACCGTCCGGCCTGGCCCCCCTGGCCGTGCAGGCGCCGTGCCCGCCTACAG